ATCAGATTGATGGGTGTGTTGGCAGCAGCTCAGATTAAATAACCCAAAGACAGACACACACAACACACACACACACACACACACACACACACACACACACACACACACACACACACACACACAAGTAGTTCAAATAAGGTTTCAGGGGCTTTTCGTTATGTTATCAGCAACGTTTTCTTCCTCAGATTCTATATTCAGTGCTCGTCACATTCAGATGAAATCGTGTTTATCAACCAGCTTCTCTTTAATCACGTCTTTTCTCTTCCTCCCTCCCGGGGTGTAAATCATTTGCCAAAAACAAGACAGAAAGTACAAATAAACAATGTTAAAGTTGAATTTATCTGACAGTGTTATATTTTCTTGTAATTTCCCGACTAAAAAGACATTAGATTGCAAAATGAAGCATCACATTTCACAAATTCTCATGCAAAATGTTGCAAATGAAGCACGATGCAAATAGGTGCGTGACAGCTTGTGACATGCAAATAGTTTCAAACATGTCACTGGTTTGCATCGGTGGCCATTAACTAAGTAGATTTGCTCAAGCGCTGGCTTAAGTACTTTAACTGTTCTTTGGTTTTTCAATGTACTGCTTCATTTGACTTTGTAATCCATTCATTTATTAATAAGCAAGCTACAGGTGGTGTTACTGGTGTTAGTCCTTTTTAGCAAACAGGGGACGTACTGTTTGATATGACACACTCGCCATTTAACCGGTAAAACTAGGATTAACAATTTGATATAACTCCCATTTCCGCAAGTTTATTACACTTACACGTTACATCTGTGTCACTGCCTTTATATTACATTACATCACATTACATGTTAGACGCTTTTATCCAAAGCGACTTACATACTCAATACTGTGGGCAATCCACACAGGAGCAATTTGGGGTGAAGTGTCTCAGGGACACAACGACATGCTGACTGCAGAGGGGTTTGAACCTGTGCTCCCCCTGATCCGAACACCAACGCACTAGCCCACTGCGCCACACGCCTGTATATTTTTACAACGGTCTAATTGATGCATCTGTAAAAAAACATTCATGTACTTTCTTAAACTTGCATACAGATCCTCCTGATGTTAGTCCATATCAGCAAACAGATGACACACTATTCATTTAACGGGTAAAACAACGATTAGAAATGCGATATTATTTTCATATCTGCATTGCCGCTAATTTGAAACATTTACACGTCCTGTGTCGCTACTTTAAAAACATATTTTTACGGCTTTTGCTCACGTGAAAATACAAAATATAGAGCACATCACTTCAAAGTAGCTGCGTACTATCGGCTAGGTCTAATGACTGATGTACGAAACATAAAACGTCAAAAAGTCTGCAATTAAACCGCAAAACACACGGACTGATGACACCTCAAATAACCAACGTCTTTGTGCAATAAACCCGGCTAATGACTGACGATATTGTGCACAAATACACAACTTATTATTATTTAGCTACAGATGGTTACACTACTGACAGTAGTCCATATTGTCTCATACATTACGCATTGTGTCACAAAGTACAATCATTTAAAGGGTCAAACTCAGATGTGATTGAACTCTCTTATCTGCAACTCATCATTGCAACAAAGCTGCATAGTGTCGGCATGACTGATGCGTGATCGCTTTGCTTGCAATCAAACCACCGACCATGTTGACTGATGATATACCAAACTTAGCTACAGGTGGTTACACTGCAGGCATTAGCAAACAGGTGTTTCACTTCACGCGACACACTCTTCATTTAACTTGTAAAAACACGATTTAAATGCGATATAACTTTCATATCTGCATTACCACTATTTTGTAACACTTACACGTTCATTATGCATCTGCGTCTCTGCTCTGTTCATGTATATCATCTTAAACTTGCACAACATGTCAAAGAGTCTTCTCTCAATTAAACCTGAAAACACACAGACTGACGATATTCAGCATAAGCACACGACTTATTATTTAGCAGGCTACGAGTGGTAACAGATTTTAGTCCGTATTCGCCAGCAACAACACACTTTAATTAAACCGTAAAAACTCAAATAACAATGCGTTATAACTCCCATACCTGCATTGCCACTCATTTATAACATCACATTTCACTTGTTAGACGCTTTTATCCAAAGTGACTTACTCACTCAATACTGTGGACAATCCCCACAGGAGCACTTTGGGGTGAAGTGTCTCAGGGACACAACGACATGCTGACTGCAGTGGGGTTTGAACCTGTACTCCCTTGATCCGAACACAAACGCTCTATCCACTGCGCCACACGCCTCCTATAACAATTACACTCTTTACCAATGTTGCTCCCGTGAAAACACAGAAACACAGCACGTCAGCTTGGTCTAATGAATGATGCATGAAACATAAAACATCAAAAGGTCTGCAAATAAACCTCAAAACACAAGAACTGATGATATTCAGCTCGAAGATCCAACTCAGCTACAGGTGGTTACACTGCAGGCATTATTCCATATTAGCAAACAGAGCACCAAGGCACCGTTTCATCCAACAAACTCATCATTTAAC